GGAACAGCATTCATTCTGAAGAACTGCGACTCCTGTGAGGGTGGTTGACGGGCTCTTAGCAGGTTAAGTTTTCTTTCAAAATGTCTATTCTGGTTTTCTCGCAACCGGGCACAAACCCTTTGGTTTTCCGAATGACATTCTCTGCCAAGTCTCCTGACTCAGCGCCGAACGTAGTATTGTTTCGAATAAATAAACTATTCCTCGTATGCAGAATACGAACGTTGTTGGTCGATGGCCCGCAATCAAGGTGGTTGCAGCTTTAGGCTTCCAGTTTCCTTGGCCCGATGGTACAACTCGTTGTTTTGGAAGGGTAAGCTGCGCAAAATCTATTTCGCAAATGAAGTTAGGGAAATCATGTGGTGGCTGCACAGCTTGCACGAGTATAGGAACTCATTTGACGGCATTGTGATTAATTAAACTCGTCTGTGGAGGCCCACATATTGTAGTAAGATAGCGAAATGTTCCCGAGAAATACTATATCGGCTCTGCAGGAATTTCAAATATGACAAGATGCTGCTATCTCTGAGCTTCATCCAATATGTTCTTGAACAGTGTGCTTGGTAGAGCTCTTGACTTATTAAACCACTTTATGTGCAAGCTTTCGGCATGTATAATGCCTTATAATTACAATTTCATAACATATGATACTACAACGAGGCATTGCGTAAAACTCTTTCCATACCAGCCTTGAGAGGGACGGAACCTAATCTTGCGAGGGTGTCAGGGCAATAAGTGACCCGCACTATGACAATGAGACAAATGGGTGGCGGTGATTATGCGATGAGTCTCAGAAGGTCACGTAGCTCCTCTTTCGCATTGATCTCTGGCTTGAGGCGGTGTATCTCCCGAGCTTCCATTATTTTCCTCTGGAGCGGCCGTACCAAATGGCGATGCAACACACTCACATCAAAAGACGGAGCGGTCTCATTTGGGTGTCTAAGCGTACGGTGCCTTGAGAAGCTACTTCGTGGGTAAGCTGCGGGGTTGTTCTTGGCCTCCATAATGACAAAGACGTGATGACTATGAGTCCCCGCCCATTCGACCATCGCGGAAAGCACCTTAGAACTGAATTAATCCACGCTGACGACGCAGACAGAGCCATACATGGCACTCATTGAAGCTTGCCATACTTGTTGGTTTAGAGCGAGGAGCACACCAGTAAGGGTACAACGATGGAGGCCCCATTGTCACCATCAGCTCGTCGGAATATGCTTGTTATGTGCATTGAATTCCGAAATGGAAGGGGAATCTGACTATGAATGAAACACATCCATAAACACAAAATTCAAACCAATGCATGATTTCCTCGATTGGGTGGCAAACTATTTCCTCAGCGGCTGTGCTATTATGTGAACGTACCTAGGGGGATAGGTGGAAGGGATCACCGTATGAAGACCTCTCATATGTTCAAAAGTTGCAGTGCGAATAGCAGTTGCGAGAGAGGTTGCAGCCTTGTTGCAGTCAGCCACATAGTTGTTCTAATAAACCAGGGGTGTTGGTGAGGTGTAACTTCTATATAAGGCTTTTCCGTGGAAGCAGGTGTGCTCCTGTAATTGAGAACGGTCCGAGAATATACTGGGTTTCTTTCGTTTAGTAATTCATGACGGCGTGAGGGTCGTCGTACTTCCTGACAGGGCCCGTTCTCCATTTCTGAGCTTACAGCTCGCCTCTGTTATTAGATGTCTCTTCAGGTGTTCTCCACAACAAGGATAATGAAAAACTATTTTAGGTACAAAGGAGGCTATTCAACAAGTATTTCAACGAAAAAATATTGAAGGACAGTGGAAGAGCTATTTCATTCCCATTTCATATATATATTGATGAGATCGCTTCCATCATCTTGCTTCACTTTTGTCCAGTAATTCAGTCTAGATGTAGAGGCAAGGAGAGATTTGTTGGACAACTCGATGCATTTTATGACATTCATTCCGAGCCTGAAATCAAGATGTATTTCAGCATAAATCCCTTAGACGTGTAGTACGCCTTAGCAGGATTGAATTTTGCGACCCTGTGCAGGCGCTGTGTGGCGCCTTTTCTAAATAAGGTACCCTTATAGCACCCGATCAAGCTGCAACATGCCAATGCCGGATGCCCACCGCGTCCGCCCACCCATAGAGGTCCAACCGATGCTGATGCTCGTATTACTTCATTGACGAAGTACAAAATAGGGCGAAGGAATTGGTATGCAGTGCTCCTTGGATATTTGGATATTTGAGTACTTACATGCAGCGGTATCTACCGCAGCGTTTATTGGCACGATGCAAAGGAAGCTCATCCGAGAATTGCTTTCCGAGCGTGTGGAGCAAAGCTTTTTTCGCAGATTTTGACAGTTTTACCTCCTTTTCGTACATTTTTCTCACTAACAGCATTGCTAGCTTACGCCCAATTATCGAATTATTCAACTCTTCGTAGAATTTATTCCTGCAGAAAGGAAAGAGGAGCACATGCAAACAAGGAGGTGTAAAGAAGTATTACACGAGTATGGCTGCAATTCAGCGCATCCAGGTGCCACGGAAGCAGTGAACAATGGAACGGGATAGCCACACTGCAATGGAATTTGAATTTTGATTCCACATGGCTATGCAGTCCAGCGCACATCATCGCGCTGTAGAAAATAGCAGCGTTTGTACGACCCCCGCCCACTCCCATACTGCCCGAATAGGGGCAGCTATCTCATTCAGCTTTAAGGCCATCTACAACTGAGCCACGCCCCAAAATCGAGGAGCGACAGCTAGAAGCGAGAGAAGGGTATCTTATAGGATAAGTAACTGTCGTATGCAATTGCATGAGTGACTGGAGTTTTTTTTAGGGAAACTGTAATGACGCAGAAACTGAGATGCAGACTTGCACTCTCTTCTCGCGCATCTGTCATTGCACCAGAGCACCCTATTTTGCGAAATCCTGCAAAATAGGCGAGAAATTGCGGAGAATCCCTCCCGTGAACGATACAAGCGTGTCGGAATTAGAGCGCGCAGGAAAAGCAGGCTAGGTGTGTACTAGGCCAACCATTTCTAGGTTGGGCTCAACTTAGTTCGAATGCCTTCCGTTTTGCAAAACATCGTTATAGATCAATGTTGAAATTCAGAATCACATGCGAGTTTTTATGATTTCAGCAAGAGTGACATGGTTCGCATAGGTGAGCGTGCGAAACCAAAGGTAGTAGTTGCCCAGAAGAACCCTTTTTCCTAGCGGTCATCTCCCTTCTCCGAAAGTTCACTGAAGCAAAATTTCCTCGTTGTGAAATGGTTACGGAAGATTCTAGGTGAGAGCATTGGGCAAAACCGAACGGAATTTTTTCGGAACCAAACTTTTTTTTGACTTTTTGGGTAGTAATAGTTGGATAGTGCCCTATTTTCTTCAATTTTCGGCGGTTCTCTTTGAATGCTTTGGTGAATGTTCCGATCTCAGATATAATACTTATTCGGTAAAATTTGCATAGCATACAACATGTACAGCTACATCCTGATAAACACAGCGGATACCTCCACATACTGCGCAGCCACTTAAGGAGAGAGGGTCGTACGGATACCCCTTTCTAGGGGGGGAGGGAATCGTATACTAAGCACTACAGTACCTCCAATTCTTTCAAGTTGCATCCTGGAAAACATGTTTTCCGTCACGAGAAAGAAACGAAATAATTCATTTGGCCTTGTTTGCAACAAAATGCATGGCGCAATAGACCTTGTTTGTCTATTGCGCCATGCATTTTGTTCCTGCACTGAGGTAACTGGAAGAAGTAACTTCTACGTAATATTGCCTGTGCTGAGCAATGTGTTCACAGAATGCTGAAAAAGTTCCTGAACTCAACTTCTGTCTCTGATCGCTCTTCAGTGCCTAGTGACCTATCTGCTTGCGAACCCTGCCCTACCCGGCGGAGAAATACGACTTCCGTCTTGTGGTTTTCACAGCAGCGATGTGCCCTGAATGCAATCTAGCTAGCTAGCCACTGCTTTGGAAGCTTGCGAATAGTGCCATGACTCAGAGGTCTTAATCTATACCAGTACGATGGAACAACTTTGGGGCTCTTCTCGAACACTTTGTCAGAGCTCGTGACGAAAAGACCGACTGTGCACCTCACACCGAGTGCAGATTCCTTGCCACGTGCCGAGTTCGAGATGAAACCCGCACCTGCAGTAGCGTGCCACTTTCTCTGCTCAAGACCCGAGGGCCGTCTCCATACTAAGCGTGCGATATCCCCAAGATGCAGCACTTACGTCGATGCCATGGCTACGCAGCGAAACACGCATTCAGCGGTAGAGAACAACCGGAAGTGGGAGGGCACAGACAAGTAGCGTACTCGCTTATGTTTAGGCATGCGGCTGCAGTGCGACAGCGCAGGCGGTGTACGGGGATCCCCCATCCTCTGGGGACGGCACCCCCGTATCACTACTCTCCAATCACGGAGATGATTATGCACTTTGTTTTTGAAGGCAGGTGCCTCGATAATTTCCGAGACGTGTAGAATTCATACGCCTAGCAAGCCATAGTTCGACTTCTCAATGCGTGGCGCCTTCTCCAAAAAAGGTACGCTTTTAGCGCCTTATCAAGCTACAACATAACAACCGGGCGCCCACCGCACCCCCCGCCCGCAAATGTACAACCGATACAACCGATGCCGATGCTCGTATCGTTCCAATTGCGAAGTAAATATGAAGCAAAGGGATTGATATGAAGCGGCTGCGGTGCTGCATGGATATATGAGTACATACTGCAGCCGTATCTGAAGTAGCGGTTATTGGCACGACGCCAACGGGAAACTCGTCTTAAATTGCTCTCTGAGTGTAGAACGGAGGCTTTTCTGCAAATCCGTTCCGCTGTACCAAATTATCGTGCCTTATGCCTCTAGGTCATAGTGAAAGAGGAGCCCGAGGCGCCAGGACCAGAATACACGTAATTCATGCGACCGGGATGCCCCCTCTTACACACACTGTTTGCGTGCTTGTACGTAATTAATATAGATCGTTGGGAAATGTAACCGCTTCGGAAACATTCGTATAGTATTACCGTATTATTTTTTGGCAAAGGTCCAACTCGACGATCCGACCAAGACCTTTTCCTCGGTGTTCTTCCATCACATAAAGTGCATTGAGTTGTCCTGCCTGTGAAATCATTTCAAATGCCACTACTTGGTCTTCGTATCGAACACAGCTTGAAGGGAAAGCAGTCAGCTTGGACCTGCAGTAAGAATTGAGTGTTTTGCATCAAAAACCAGGATTTCACCACAGAATTACTTCAATTACGAGTTTCACAAAAGCCTGAACAAAACCTCGTCTCTTCAATTTCATCACTATTCGCATGTATCCAGTGCGTACTGATCAGCTCAGCGTCGAAATCTGGGTTTGCTGAGCCTAAAGAAATGACCACGTTTAGTAGAAAAGTACTGCAAAAGTTTCGCTAGTAAAATTGGATTGTGGCACCAGTTTTCAAAAAATAAGCATGCCCGGGAGACTGGAAATCCGGAGCTCCGCACTCCGCCGACGATCGAAGTCGTATTCGCCAAGGTTTTGAGGATCAGGTGGGCCGAACGCGTCATGCATTTATGAAGACGACCGCTCGGCCCCCCTGGACGACCACATACGCGATGGTCAGATTCTTTAGTTAAAGTCAGTTGGCACGATAACTCCCTCAAGACGAGTAGGATTAATACGCCTGGCAGGACGGAATTCCGCGACCCTGAGAAGGCATGCGCAGCGCCTTTCCAAGGAAGGTACCCTTATAAGGGCCCTATCAAGCTACAACATACCGACCCGAACGCCCACCACGCCCGCCCGCCCACAAATGGACGACCGTTCCTGACGCTTGATTCATTTGCTAAGCAAATTATGAAGCGAAGGGATTGGTATGAAGCGGCCGTGATGCTGCATGGATATATGGGTACACATATGCAGCCGTACCTTCGGTAGCGGTTATTGGCAAGATGCCTACGGGAAACTCGTCCAAAATTGATTACTAACAG